ATGTCAGTGGAGGATGCCTCTATTTGGACAACCGTTTAGTAATCCCAGCATGCCTAAGATCGACTATGCTGAACAGACTACACGAAGCCCACCCCGGCCAGTTCGCAATGAAAAGCCTGGCAACGCAATACATCTGGTGGCCGAAAATTTACCGTGAAATCCAAGTCCACGGCGAAAATTGTATAGAGTGCGTGAAAGCAGGTAAAAATTTGAAACCTGTTATAAAACACAATACCCTAGGGGAACTCCCAATGGTCGAAGAACCAAACCAAGAAATGGAATTAGATTTCGCTGGTCCGTTACCTTTAGTATGGGGAACAAAAAATACATATTGGTGTGTGTAGACAGATTTTCAAAATTCCCATCAGCTCAAATAACATCCAGTACATCGGCAAAATCTATTATTAACTTCCTTAGTAAATACATTGCTTTACACGGGATACCTAGAACAATTAGAACAGATCAAGGATCTGGTTTCATCTCCAAGGAAGTTAGAGAATTCTGCCACGATCACAACATAAAGGTGATATTTAGCCCAGTGGGTGATCATAGAGCTACGGGATTAGTGGAACGCCTAATCAGGACCATTAAGGAACGACTCCTGGTTATGGCACAAGAACGTCCAAAACCTTCACTAGAATCTGCACTCCTGAAAATAATAAAATGCTTAAGAACAGTAACTCAACAGTCGCTTAACTGCTCTCCTTTCGAAGCACATTTCGGTAGATCCCCAAACACTATCTGGCATAATTTGGTCAAATCACCCTCTTCGAATAACCTTGATTGGAATAAAACTTTGTTATGTATAGATAAAGGCAAAAAACTAATGAGCCGAGAGCGAAGACATGACTGGGATGCCCCTGACGACATAGAAGATGGAGATGTCGATGAAAATTCATCATCCTCGGAGGATATCTCAAATGCCGTGAGATATGTACCAACAAGTGCTGGATCCCCAGTAAAAGTCCTCTCCCGGTCAGAAAAAAGAGATGCCTTGGGCATAAAGGACTCAATTCTGAACAACCCGTCGGGTAAGACCATTGTTTATCGAAAAATCCAAGATAGAATGAAAAATGAACCATACTATAGAGTACTTAAGGACGAAATCGTAAGGGAATCAGATCACACTGTGACTCTAAAAAATGGTAAAATAATACGTAAATCTGATTTAGCCATTAAAAGACAGTGCACCCAGAAGAAGCCAAGTCCGAGAAAACGAGACCAATAAGTTAGATTTTATGCGACTAAAGGATTGAGGAAAACTGCAAAACCTCCAAGAAATATCGGATTTAAAAGCTCAAAAACTACCCAAAAGAAACGAAATCCTCAGTGGAAATTTGAAGAGCTTGACATAGCGAGACGAAACGCGGCCATGAACAGTTCTAGGGAAACTCTTCTTAGAGAAGAAGAAGAACAGAGAAAGAGACTGAGAACACCGATTGGCCTCGAGAGCGACCAAGAACCAAGCCCGTCGGGCAAACCCGAACTTCTTAAAAGTTACCTAAATGAACCCGGAGTGACGATCGAACCACATGAAGAGATGTCAGACGATAATGCTAGTGACTTAATTACACTAAGAGACCTCAAGGAGAAAACACTTGAAACTACGAAACGAGACGAACACCTAATGTCCGACCGAACAGATCCTAAGCTATAAACATCAGACCACGCCGACCAGAAGGTCGAGTTAGATGAGATTCCTTTGATCGACTTGGATTCCGGTGACAATGAAAGAGACTTTCAAGCGACCCCACAGTTGATTCTCTTGGACACTAGGGAGGAGGGCGATGAAGCGATCCAAGAAATGCCGGTACTTCCAGAGAATCCCAGAGGAGAGTTCCCTAAACCTACTGGAGAACAAACCACCATGGCGGAGACGGGACCCAAACAAACACATTCTGACCGTACTACGAAGACACAGAAATTGTCCGGTACTGCTAAAAGGAAAGCGTCATCTCCAATGAAATCACCACCCTCGAAAAAACTGTCAGAAATTTTTACACGTCAGAACACCAGACCTATGCGAACTAGGCAGCCTCCCAAGATGCTAGGCGAGAGAGTATTTACCAGTGTAGTCGACCTAACTGAGGAAGATCGTGATGCCCTAGAATTCGGTTCACCTAGTTTAGTCTCAGTATGTTCAACGTTGGAAGCAACTACGGTAGAAAGGGAAAGCCATCATGTCGACCTAGTAGACCTGACAACATTAACACCACCTTCATCTTCACGGCCTACTATAGTTCACTTGCGAGAAGAAAACGATGCGTACCCAAGTGACCCAAAGCCCTTAAAAACAGACGATCAAAAGAGTCCTGACAAGAAGGTCAAATTTAGCCCTGATGTCTGCTCCACGCGATTTAACCCATCGGGCCTATCTTACGAAAGTTCAACTTCCACATTTGTCCCCATCGTACCTGACCCAGACTGGCTGAACACCTCCTCTATCATTTCGGCGATAGAACTCCTTGGACGGCCAATGACGCTGGAGGAGTTAAGGAGATGGACAATAAATAAAGCAGCAAATCGGGAATCTAATTAGACGTAGGAACTCCAAAACAGATGTTATCAAAAACATTCTTGATCTACCAAAACTCCATTGTAAAACTTTTAGCACCTGTATGTCCTGTTTATTGTTGAATGCTACTAACATTCCATGACCCTAGAGTCATACAAACCTCCAGTGCTGTTATTTTAAGCCATAGTGATGATTGGTAACATTTATACCCTTGCTTTTGCCATAGAATTCAGCCCGAATCTCGTTATAGTTCTGTTAACCCATGGGGCGCTACCACCGGATAACCATTAGATTTATCCATTTTGGTTCTACCCAGTTATTTCGCTTATTCTAAGGATAACTCCCTGCATACCTTATGACTCTATTCACCCTGGTGCTATTTCAGTTTCTTGCTTGCCTATAGTCACCAGTCTACAGTTATTTCTTCCGACGAATACATATTATTCGATCTAAGGTGCTTTGTTTTGGAATTTTGTTTTTGTTTGTTGAACATGCCGTCCGGCCCGTCGGGCCCGATCACCGGTCTTCCCCGTACTGTACACCCACCCTTTCGACCTGATAACCGTGTAATTGTACTTAGTATATAATACGCCTCTTGGGCCCTTTATCAAATCTGTGTGCTTACGAATCTAGATCCACTCTCGGGGGTCCTAGACAATGCGCCTACTGATTCATTCATCTTAGTGCTTAATCATTTTTGTTTTGTTCCCTTCTGGTGAGGCGAAAGGGATAGATTATAGATAAAATTTCGCGGGGAATGTAAAAGTATTATGGTTTGTTTATTTAACCTCTGATCTTAACTTACCATCGACCTTTAAGTTGTTAATTTATATACCTGCCAAAAGCGCAACGGCTTTTGGTAGACTCTGAATTGGACACTATCTTTTATGATACGTAACAAATCAATCGCAACCAATTCAATCTTTTAAACCTCTCTTAACTTAGATAGAATCCCCGTCTTTTATTTAGTCTTAAATAAAAGCCTACAATTTTAGTAGGAATCTTAATCATCCACAGTCTTAATCTATTCTTAGTTTAAGTCACTCTTTACAACACGAGTGGTATCCTAATTTTTTAACATTAGCGTTGGATCGAAAAACGCTTATTTAAAAAATGTTGTGTCGTACATTAAGCGATTGCGGTTAAAGATGACGTTGAAGTCCGCTGACAAGCCCGACCAAGTACATGACCTCCGTAATTCCAAGCAAGTGCAGTATCATTAAAAAGTCAAGGAGTTAAGCACTCTTCAACTCTTCGTCGTGCTTAAAGTATTGTTTTGTGAAAGTTTCGTACAAAGAATTGAGTTGATTGAACAGTGCTGTTTTCTTTTGTCCGGACGAAAAGCCTAAAACTTCAAATTTAAAAAAGCGTTTGTTTCAAAATGAGTTGACATTAGGCGAAAAATTTAAAAGACAAAACTAGCCTAAATTTTCAGCAGATTTCACCAGTGGATTTAGGGGCGGCTGGAGGCGGGGAGTTTCAGACGCCTCCTCCCCTCAGGATTTCGACCGCCTGCCTACCCTAAGGGTCACCCCTTTGTACTATTTTGAAATATACCTTTATGGCTGAGTGAAACCGCCCCTTCCTTAATTGTGGCAGGTAAGAAAAACTTGAGGGAGTGTCATTGAGACATGACATTTAGTAAATGACATGACATACAGTTGCAATTTTCCTACATAATTTGCAAAATTTCTGCAAAAATAATCGAATTTAGTTCTAAAAAAATGGATTATATTCGATTAAAATGGTTTTCAATGGATTTTTTTTTCCAAAAATAATCGATCATACTGGCAATATAATCGATTTCGTGGTCTGAATTTGACATCTTTAATGAATTATAATGGATAATTTTTGTCTCAGGAATCCATTAGAATCGGTTAGAATCCTTGCGCACTTAGTGCGGGGTGTAATTGCCAAGAAAATGCGCAAAATGGTTTAAAATTTTTATATAAAATTTTGTATAGTAAAATGATATTAGCTACAAACAAAAATAAATTTAATTTATAGTTTTTTGGAGCTTTTGATATTCTTAAATTTTGCTGGGCTACGTGATATTACGCGTTTTAAATTTTCAATTTTGCGCTTCTCATCCGGATCATTAAAATCAGCACCACATTACGCATTCAATTATTTAAATTGAGGAGTGCTTGAATTTCTTGAGGGTGAAGCAACTTTACCCAGCCCAGAAAAGTAACCAAAAAAATTGCATGTAGTTCTTAAAAAGGGGCACAACAGCGGTTCGTCGTGAAGAGCTGTACAGCTCTTGTGTTGGTCCTTTCCCCCGTGGATAAATGGTCTTAATTAATTAATCTGTAATGGGCATTTTGCGCTTTTCTCTCACACCCCCCCCCCCCCCCCCAAGAAAAAAAATCGACACTGACTCAATGTACAAATAACTTAGCGAATATTCGACTGCAGTAACTTCACGAACTTAAATACTTGATTCTTTTTTAGAGCGTTTTTAGTCTGTCTATTTATGTTTCAGGCCTGCAGAACCAGAACCGGATGCAAATTGTAGTTTCTTGCTTGCTACCCAACTTCTCAAATCACCCAACTCAAACGGAAGAGCCTCCCAATTCAACCTATCCGTCTCAAAATCTGCACACACCTTTCAATTATTACGTGCATCCAATAACCCAAAATCAACCAAACCTAAAAAACAAGGTTACTCAGCGCTTGGCAATTTCCTGAAATCTTTTAGATCGGTTGACAATTTAGCCAGTAAAAACGACAACAAAATTGTATCAATTAGACAAGAATTAAGCAAAACTCGTCAAAATGAGGTTGTCAAAATGTCTGAAGATCGGCAAATAGAGGAGGGGTCACTGTCCATTATTAAAGACACATCAATTGCGGTTCTGCGGAAAAGGTCAGAGCCACAAGCGTTACGTTTCCGATCTCCCTCAACTAGCAGCGACAGTTCAAATAAATCTGCAACCAGCTCATTTGAGATTCGCGAGAACTTTTACACATCCCCAGTTAATGATAACAAAATTAGCACCAAAATAGAGCCAAAGACTCTAATAGTTATCGAGAGCTATGAAAAAAAATACGGCGATGAAATCAGCGTGGAAAAAGACGAAGTTTTGCAAGTTTGCAAAGAGCCAACCAACGGATGGATTTTGGCAAGGAGGCAAAAAACTGGAAAAACCGGCTGGGTTCCTCCTGGAATCACCAAAGAATCTGATGAAAATGAAATATCCTAATTTGTGGCCTGAAGATTTGCACTGAAAGTTTCGTAAATTTTTTACTAACTTGATTTCACTACATATCAATTGAAAATTCCGACTTAGATTAATAAGTTTTTATGAAAACTGATTTCTGCCTTTTTTGATTGTCTTAGTATAGTGCATTCTAATGCCACCGGTAATAATAAAGGAAATAAACAAAACTTTTAGTCGAATTCAACGGGGTTTTAAATAAAACTTAACTGAGACTCAAAGTCCGATGGACATTAATCAAAGATTGACTGAAGAAAAAAACCACACGAAACATAAAATAAGAGAATTGCAGCATTCACGCAACTAGGAAAGCATCGATTGATAACTGCTGAGACTGTTTTTCAATCTGAGAAGGGTGCGATTCCCACGGAGAATCATCATAGATAAAAATGTTGTCATCTCCAAAAATACCAGCTTTGAAGGGTTTTTTATTCACACCTTCAGATTTAGATCTACAGAGTTTTCCGAAGTGACCCGCATCTTTACAAACGTAACAGGTTATGTCTTTTCAAGGAACTAATTCTTAGTTTGGTAGAATAAAATTACAGAGAATTCCAAGAATTTATTTCATCTTCCTTTTCAGTCTTTTCTGCAGCTCAGGTTTCCTGGATTACTAACGTTTGCTACATATGGCTGACGTAATGTTCCCTCTTTTAATATATCTGTGGTTGGCACTATTTGGCCTTGGCCGTGTACATAGATATCATACATCAATATTATTGAAATCGCAGTGCCACACTTTTATCGAGCTTACGTTTCAGTTTTTTTCAATTTTTTCCTTAAAATAGAAAAGGGTTCAAAGAAGGGTATAAAAAAGTTTACATTGAATAACTTGTTACCAAAAGTACAAACCATTAACCAAGGAAGTGAACCTTTTTTTTTGTTTTCCGCCTAAGAAGACACCACTTGAAATCTGGACGGGCTGGCTCAGTGGTTTTCTCCTATATGATTCAGATGTGTTTTTGCATTACGAGGCCAAACTGTGTAATTTTTAAATTGTAATCGGAATCCGCAACAAGGACGCCCCACACATGAGTTTCATGGATAAAAATTGAGTCTAAATCAGAGAAAAATGTTGTCTAAATCATCGCCAATATAATCTATTATTATTGCAATTTAGACCATGAAATTGATTATATTGTCATTAGGTTCGATTATTTAAAAAATAATCAATCAAGGAAAATCCTTGATAATGGATTATAAGCCATTTAAAGTCCATCATAATTAATTATTAAGGATTATAACCACTAAATTTTTTTGACACATTTATTTGCAAAATTTTCAGTAATTTCTGCTATGCTCACGGCCACACTTTTATTGAGCTTATTACGTTCAGGTTTCTTACATTTTTTTTTCCTAAAACAGAAAAGGGTTGAAAGTAGGGTATAAAGTAATTTACGTTTTTGACACAATTATTTGCAAAATTTTTCAGTAATTTCTGCTATACTCAGTGCCACACTTTTATTGAGCTTATTACGTTCAGGTTTCTTACATTTTTTTCCTAAAACAAAAAAGGGTTAAAAGTAGGGTACAAAGTAATTTACGTTAAATAACTTGTTAACAATAGTACGAGCCAATAACAAAGGAAGTGAACCTTTTTTTAAATCACCGCCCAAGGAGACACCACCTGAAATCTGGACGGGCTGACTCAATGGTTTTCTCCTATATGATTCAGATTTGTTTTTGCATTACGAGGCCAAACTGTGTAATTTTTAAAATGTAATCGGAATCCGCAACAAAGACGCCCCACACATGAGTTTCATGGATAAAAATTGAGTCTAAATCAGAGAAAAATGCTGTCTAAATCATCGCCAATATAATCCATTATTATTGCAATTTAGACCATGAAATTGATTATATTGTCATTAGGTTCGATTATTTAAAAAATAATCAATCAAGGAAAATTCTTGATAATGGATTATAAGCCATTTAAAGTCCATCATAATTAATTATTAAGGATTATAACCACTAAATTTTTTTGACACATTTATTTGCAAAATTTTCAGTAATTTCTGCTATACTCACGGCCACACTTTTATTGAGCTTATTACGTTCAGGTTTCTTACATTTTTTTCCTAAAACAAAAAAGGGTTGAAAGTAGGGTATAAAGTAATTTACGTTTTTGACACATTTTTTTGCAAAATTTTTCAGTAATTTCTGCTATACTCAGTGCCACACTTTTTTGAGCTTATTACGTTCAGGTTTCTTAAATTTTTTTCCTAAAACAAAAAAGGGTTAAAAGTAGGGTACAAAGTAATTTACGTTAAATAACTTGTTAACAATAGTACGAGCCAATAACCAAGGAAGTGAACCTTTTTTTAAATCACTGCCCAATGAGACACCACCTGAAATCTGGACGGTCTGACTCAATGGTTTTCTCCTATATGATTCAGATTTGTTTTTGCATTACGAGGCCAAACTGTGTAATTTTTAAATTGTAATCGGAATCCGCAACAAGGACGCCCCACACATGAGTTTCATGGATAAAAATTGAGTCTCAATCAGAGAAAAATGCTGTCTAAATCATCGCCAATATAATCCATTATTATTGCAATTTAGACCATGAAATTGATTATATTGTCATTATGATCGATTATTTAAAAAATAATCAATCAAGGAAAATCCTTGATAATGGATTATAAGCCATTTAAAGTCCATCATAATTAATTATTAAGGATTATAACCACTAAATTTTTTTGACACATTTTTTTGCAAAATTTTCAGTAATTTCTGCTATACTCACGGCCACACTTTTATTGAGCTTATTACGTTCAGGTTTCTTACATTTTTTTCCTAAAACAAAAAAGGGTTGAAAGTAGGGTATAAAGTAATTTACGTTTTTGACACATTTATTTGCAAAATTTTTCAGTAATTTCTGCTATACTCAGTGCCACACTTTTATTGAGCTTATTACGTTCAGGTTTCTTACATTTTTTTCCTAAAACAAAAAAGGGTTAAAAGTAGGGTACAAAGTAATTTACGTTAAATAACTTGTTAACAATAGTACGAGCCAATAACCAAGGAAGTGAACCTTTTTTTAAATCACCGCCCAAGGAGACACCACCTGAAATCTGGACGGGCTGACTCAATGGTCTTCTCCTATATGATTCAGATTTGTTTTTGCATTACGAGGCCAAACTGTGTAATTTTTAAATTGTAATCGGAATCCGCAACAAGGACGCCCCACACATGAGTTTCATGGATAAAAATTGAGTCTAAATCAGAGAAAAATGCTGTCTAAATCATCGCCAATATAATCCATTATTATTGCAATTTAGACCATGAAATTGATTATATTGTCATTAGGTTCGATTATTTAAAAAATAATCAATCAAGGAAAATCCTTGATAATGGATTATAAGCCATTTAAAGTCCATCATAATTAATTATTAAGGATTATAACCTCTAAATTTTTTTTGACACATTTATTTGCAAAATTTTCAGTAATTTCTGCTATGCTCACGGCCTACTCGAACTCTAAACCTAATGAATTTTATAATGCCTGTTTACTTCCCCTACCACTTATTTTTTCCAAACACAATTACCCTTTCCCAGTTCATTTTCTCCCCATGTTTACTCGCCCCCCTCCCAGTTTATCCCAAATCCCCCCAGCTTACCCCAAATCCCCCCAGTTTACCGCCTCCCCGTTTACACCACACCCTCCCCGTTTACCGGGGGTGGTGTAAACGGGGAAGCAAAAAACGTGGTGGGGGTCTAAACGGGGTAGGGGTTGGGATGTCAATGAGTAGGCTTACGCGTGGAAGGGAGGAGTGTGGGTGTAAATGTGGGGGAGTATATACTGGAAAGACAACTGAGGATGACAAAGGGAGAAAAAAGACCCACAAAAACGAAAAGTAATCTTAAGCCAAATAAAATTTTGCTTAATCTGTAACGTTTCAAGCCAAAAACCAACTGCTAAATTTTGCATTTACTTCACTGTGTTTAAAATTTTCTGAAAAAAATACAAAAAATGGATTATAATCTATTGTGATTGATTATAATTGACTAAAATGGTTTTTATTGATTTGACATAAGTTATTTTTTCATCCATTTTTAATCAATTATATTCGATTACTTTTAAATTTTACGGAGACCGGCAAGAAAAATACGATATAATCGATTACTATCTATGAAATTTCAGTACGGGTCTCTTTTTGTTCTTTGGTTTTCTTTGATTGTTCTGACAAAAAAGGAAAGAACAAAAAAGTCTAGCTTAAAGTCTTGCTCAAAGTCTTGTTTCTGGATTCCAAAATCTTGTTTATCTTGCTTAAAGTCTTCTTTCTGCATTTCAGAGACATGCACACACCAAATAATGCGCCTATCCAGTGCTCAGGTTGGCTTCGTCATGTATAAAATTATTTAAAAATCTCTTTAATTTGAAATCATTTGGAAACAATTTATGATTTTATGTTGATTTTGATTAATCTTAATTAACTTATAGCTTCCGAATGAATATGTTGCATAGAAAAGGTTCCGTTAGAGATCCTTGCTTCCCTTGAAGATTAAGACTATCTCTAAACCATTCGACCATCTTGCAAAGTGCGTCTCTGCCCCTCAAATTTGTTTGTAGAACTTTTCGTCTCCCTGTATGCGACTACGAAGTTTGTAGCGTTCGTCGAAAATATGTTTGATGCTTTGGTGCAGGTTTTGCTTAATATATTCCAGATTTTTCTAATCTCAAGTATTTCAAAACTGGCTTTCAATACTGAGTTTGTAGCGTTCCAAAAAAATATGTTTGATGTTTTGGTGCAGGTTTTGTTTAATATACTCCAGATTTTTCTAATATCAAGGATTTCAAAAGCCCGGCAAGGATTTCGATACATGTGGACTTTTGAAATATTGATTTTTTTGATCCTAGTGTTGTCTGAGAAGATGAACAGTTGATCTCCCTCGCAGCTTCTCGAGCCTTTGAATCGTTTTTTTACTCAGAGTTTTTTTATCCGTGAGCTCTTATTGTTTAATTGCATCAAAATTTTGCTTTTTTCTTACCATCTTGCTCTTGCATCTGTTTGCCTGCTCGAACATTGAAAATTGAGTTGCTGCAACTTCACCGGTTTC